GCGTTCAGGGCTTCCATTTTCGTTGGAGGATTTATGTTCACTTGTAATTCAGCGGCTGCAGGTGGTATTTCTGGACGAAGTGTGGGTGATGGTGGTGGTCGATTCAAGAGCTTCTTGAAGTGGTCGGCCCATCGTTTCCTCTGTTTCTCTTCTTTTGTAATTAAATTTCCTTCTTCATCTTTTATTGGTTTCATCTGTGTTGGTCTCTTCCCAGATAGCAACCTGGTTATTTGATACAATGTCGTCAGGTCTCCATCCCTCCTACCTGCAGCCTGTTCTGCTTCACTTGCCAGTGTTTCGTAGAAGTGTCTTTTGTCTTTGCGTGCACTCTTCTTTACTTCTTTGTTCAGTGTTTTGTACATTGTGCTCAGTTCCTCTTGTCGTTGAGCATCCTTGCACTGGTTTATCTTCTGCTTCACCATCCTCCTCTCCCTGCTCTATCAGCTTCCATGTATCCATTGAGATCCATTCCCTGTCCTGTCTTCTTTCTTCTTCCTTCCTAATACGGTTGTGCAGGTTTCTTTCCACAACGCCTTCAAAGACTTCCAGTGTTCTTCCACACAGGTTTCTTCAGGGATGTTCCTCGATGTCTCCCATTTTGTCTTGATGGCTGCCGTGAAGATCTCCTTTGTAGTTTCATCCTTCAGTTTCCGAGTGTTGTACTTGAATTGAGGTCTATCACCAGCTTCCTTGAAGGCTTTTAACTTGATTTGGAAGGTTCCTTGCACTAGATAGTGGTGTGAACCTACATCTGCTCCTCTTCTTGACCTTGTGTCAAGTAGACTGCATCTCCATTTTCTTGAGATTGAGATGAAGTCGATTTGATTTTTAGTGTGTCCATCTGGTGAAATCCATGTCGGTTTGTGGATATCTTTGTGCCTGAACACACTGCCTCCAATCACCAAATCGTCGAATGCGCAGAATTCTGCAAACAATTCTCCATTCTCATTCATTTCACCTAGCGCCTCTCGACCCATGGTTAGTTCGCTTCCTGTGTTGTCCCCTCCCAGTTTGACATTCATGTCGCCCATCAGAATTTTGATATCGCCAACTGACGTCTTGTCCAGTGTTGATTGAAGTTGTCTGTAGAATTCCTCCTTCTCCTCTTCATCTGCATTATTTGTAGGTGCATAACATTGTATGATTGTGACCTTCCTTCCTTCCTTCCTTCCATTTGACTTGAATCTTGCTGTCATGATCGTGATGCTGGAGGAGATTGGTTCCCACTGCATGAGAGCCTTCGATGCTCTTGAGGACATCATGATAGCCACTCCCTCAGTGTGCTCGTGGTTGTCGTCTGGGTGACAATATAGGAGTAGATTATTGATTCTGCAGTTGACAGTTTGGAGAGTCCACTCCCATTCCATCTGCTTTCGCAAATCCCAAGCACTTCAATGTGATACCTTCTCATCTCGTTTGCAATCTGGGCTGCCTTACTGGGTTCAAACATCGTACGGACATTCCATGTCCCCACGTTTACTTTCGCTTTCATCGAGAGAAGACACATCGGCCAATTGGCTTCCAGAAGGCTTTCACCAACTGGCGTCATTTCGCCTCTCCGATTCCAGCGGGGAATAATTTTGTTATTATTTTTTATATTTTGTTTGTGCTTTGAAGTTTCTTTAGCGGTTAGATTTGTTTTACGGGGTAGGGTTGTGCTAGGCCTATGCCCAACCTTCGCTCTTTACCCGGGCTTATGACCGGCTAGTAACTAGTGAACTAGTTAACCTGGCGAGGTTAGACAGTCTTTATATTGAGATGCTATCGACTCATTATACCACTAGGATTTGCATAAATTTTCGAATTCAGGAAGTGGTAAACTGCTTTCTTCCTAGTCAGTAATCTAAACGTTAACACAGAATAATTCCGAAATTATTATCATGGATTGTACAAATTTGAGATGTACATTCTATCGGTACTACAAAATGTTCAAAACGATGGGACTATATGACCTACTGAATCAAAGTCAATTATTTGGTCATACTGTGGGATTTCAGTTGATGAGAAATATGGTGTATGCATACTTATCCGCATGAAAACTTGAATAAATTTGATCAGAATCACTGATGACTGGCATCGCTAATGCTGTATACAACTAATTATAAGCGTTATTCGTGTACTTGTTTGCCTCACCTGAGCTACATAGTTGCTATGCTCCTGATCCGATGATTTAGCTGTTGTCAGTAGTTTTAAACTTCGCGTTTGGAAGTGACTTTAAAAACTACCCAAACGGAGAATTGGAATAACCAATCAGACTTCTTTATTATTTTATGAAAATCTGCCTTTCTAACCAGATTGAAGAAGCTTAATTGTTTGGGTGACCTTTAAAGTCTTCTCTTTTTTGCTTTCCTGTTTAGTCATATGATTTATGAACTGAGTAGGGTGTCTTAACTACTATTATGCTGATGAACTGTGCTAAGTCTGAGTTGAACTTACTGCCATTAACTTCACATACCAGCGAACTGTGAGAGAAAATGAAGGTAGACTGCTAGTCTACAAAATATGCCTTCAAAGCGTTGACTTCTGCCTACTCAGAATGTCAACGAATAGGAATAAAAGGCAGATAAGTTTAAGTACATTTCGTACTGTGCTGTTTATCACTGTTACTATAAGCCATCGCTTATCATACCTTACTCTATTGTTTAGGTTAGGGTAAGTAGAACGCGGTTTAAAACTTCTGAACCTATTGCTTGAATGTTTGATACTTAAGCTACTGTTTCTATAGATTCTAGGTGAATTTAAAGTTGTCTTACACGGAAAATGGATATCAATTGAAAAAACTGTTCAGAGTCATGAATTTTTTTAAACAGCCATTTTTCTATCGTGTTAGTTTTTGTTTCAATTTCGGACTCGAGCGTCAAATAAATGTTCAGAAACTCAGTGAAACATATTTCATACAGAAAGAGTAGTCACTCATTGTTTCAAGTCAACTTACTTTGAAGTGATAATTCAGCGAAGAAAATTTTCTTTTTCAACGATATCATTTCCTAAAGCTGTACAATCGTATTTATATCATATCATCCTAATTCATCAAAATACAAATATATTGAGGATGTAATTAAAACGTTCAATGATTGTCACCCATCGATCAGCTTCACATCAAAATTTGAAGAGAACTCGGAATTCCATTTTCTCGATGTTTTATTGAAACGGACACCAGATGGTTCTCTTCACCGATCAATTTATAGAAAGCCTACTTGGAATGGACAATATCCAAATTTCCATAGTTGGATGCCTCTCAGCAGAAAGAAGAATCTAATCTAATCTTTATCTTCAAGAATCAAAAGAATCTGCACCAGTGATACTATTGACGAGGAATTAGATAAACTACGGAAGATTCTCATGCAAAATGGATATCCATCCAGATTTATCGATAAGAATTTGAAAGTAAATCAGAATACGGAGCGAGTACTTACAGTTCCTTAGAAGACCTTGTTTATGAACGTTGTTTTCAAAGGGGATACGGCAGCAGAGATCCTGAAGAATCGGCTGTCCAGATCACTGAACAAGGCATTCTTCTCTGCAAAACTGCAGATCAGCTTCTCTAGTCATTCCGGAGTGCGTTAAGGACAAGTTACCACTTTGGGCCACCTCGATGTATGTCTACAAATTTACTTGCTCCTGTGGAGCTAGTTATATAGGCCGCACAAAGTGCACGCTTTCCAAACGTATCTCGGAGCACTATCCTGCCTGGTTGTCGAGGGGAGAATGTAAATCAATTAACAGTTCAATTCTTGAACATTTGGTCAACTCTGGACGTAAAGCTAGACCAGAACCCTCCTTCAATGTCATTTATCGTGTCAGATGGAATAGTTCAAAAGGAGTACGCCTTCAACAGTTGTGCACAGTGGAGGCACTGGCAATTCATCAATTCAAGCCTGATCTCTGCGTGCAAAAGAAGTATGTTCAGTCTCTAATCTTACCATGCTCTCAACACTTTCACAACTTTTTGTCTATTTCATTATAATTAATTAGTTTATTATTATCACCTTCATTATGACCCTTGTCTGATTCTCCACCTTCTTTACACCTATCTGTCTATCTATCTATCTATCTATCAGTCAAGTGGACACTCAATATTTGCGTTTCTTATCTACCAACAATTTTCACCTTGTCAAACTCCTTGCCTTCCTCGATATTTCTACTGTCTTAGATTATTACGCAACTACTTTGCGATCTTGATTCGGTTTTTTGTAGCACTTAGTTAATGATGTAGCTATTATACCCTATTGTTTTATAAAGGACTGTTATGTGTTTATGGTACATACATGAATACGATTGTAAAGCTTTAGAAAATGATATCGTTGATAAAGAAAATTTTCTTCGCTGAATTATCCCTTCTCTATTACTTTGAAGTCTCTAACGGTCCGGGTTACCACAGCTCATTACAGTACAGCAAGTAGAAAGGTTAGAAAGGTAGTGAAATGAAGGATGTAAGATAAGAGAATGCAGTCAAAAGAAATATAAAGTACGAAAAGAGAGAAAGGAAGAATGAGAAAATGGTGAGATTCGGTATAGTGTCGTTAAGATGAGGATAACGTGTGTATACATCTTCACCATTGACATCGGTTTTGAGCCATATCCCCTAGAGTCTCCAGCCACCTAGTGTGCATCGCCCCAACAGTCAGAGACTTCATACATTGGTGCCATGTTTTAGTGTGGCGACCTGGGGCCTTTTTCCATCCTGGACTTACTTTGTGCAACATCGTGTGACGAGGCAGATGGCGACTAGGCATAAGTAGTACGTGTCCCAACCATCTCAGTCAATGAGGGTTTACAACCTCGTCAACTGACTTACCTCTGCTCCCTAAAACTCTACGCTTCAGCGTGACTTCTGGTTAGTATATCTACGCATGACATACTATTACGAAGGTCAGTTTCCCTGAATCCATATACCCTTACCTACTCAGTATTTATTGTCTCATATAATTAATTTTTGACTAAATACTTTAATCTTTGTGTTAACCAACTTGTTTTTAAAAAAAATTTTATTACTTTAGTTGACAGCAGAAAATGAAATGTTAATCAATCGTTTGAAAGAGGCTCAGATCACCCAGTCTTTTCTGACAAGTGAATTGAAGACGTCACGTGATAAATACGATGAATGCCTAACACTTTACAATGAAGCAAGGGTAATGATGATGCTAATAACCCCATATATTATTATTATTATTATTATTACTGAATATGCCTATACTGTATTTATTTAGCGAAAGTATCCTTTGCAATGACTGACAGACAAGTATTATCAGTATATGACTCGATATATATTACATAATAGTCCACATTGATAAATCAAGAAAGAAAATTTCAATGTCATATTTAGATCTATTTCAATCAAGGTGTATAATATGCATGGAATTAAGCTATATACAATCAATCAGCTGGGTATTATAGCTCAGTTAGTAGCGTACTGGCTTGGTTACCTACAAGTCACTTTTTCGAGTCCTGCCGTGCCCTAGATATGTTCATTCGATTATCTCTCAGTTTCAATACCCCATCTGCCAAACCACAGCTGATGTCTCACATGGTTAAATGAATCAACAAAAGTCCCTGACTTCATTTGACTTTCGATGGTTAATAGTGCAGTTGGATGAACGATATAATACAGGATAATGATTTGGATATTTCAATTATATTTTAAATATACTAAAATTTAGATAACTTCATTTCAATCTATTTGTAGATAGCCAGGTAACTTCTGATTCATTTCTATCTCATTTTGTGTTGATTTATACCTTTCATTCGTTGTCAGATGGGTCTATACATAGTCAATCGAATAGGTATATATATTTGTGAATGCGAAGTTTTCTCATGACGAGATAGGTTTTAAAGGGGTAACCGTCGCACATCGATATCAGCCGGAGAATTACTAAACACCTAAATGTTACTGGATAGTTTTATTATCGTAATTTAGGACCTCATCCGAGACCCAATGTGAAACTGAATCCAGGATATTCAGGTTTCTTGACATGCATCTTACTACTGGATTTGACTCTTCTGAACACCTTAAACAGAAATCTGAGTGCATTCGACATGCTTTTTTGTATCTGCTACATGTAAGATGTTGCTTCAGGATTGACTGGTTTGTTCTGATAGGGAATGAAGTAGTGGAATCCATCGACCATTACACTTACTTGGGAAATTACATCAGCTCAAATAGGTTGATGGCTGATGAGATTTCTACTCGAATACAGTAGGCCCGTTCAGCATTCTTCAACATACGCTATCGCTCGTGCGATATCCGACCACCTATTATACATTCGTGATATATGGTCATTTAAAGTAGATATGAAGAGATTAAAAGTCTTTGATCACAAGTGTCTTTGCAGCACTGCTCACTTAGAATGGAATCTCCATAGGAGAAATATAGCTGTGAGGCGAATAGAACTAGACAAGACAGAGAAGTCAGTCGAGGAGGTTGTGAAACTTTATTGACTGATTTGACTAGTACATGTGTTTTGCTTGTCGATCCACCTCCTACCTTGATGTGTAATGTTGACCGAAGTGGGATTGGTTTAGAAGAAAGCTAAGGGTCACTCGACCAAAACATGGCACTAGAACATGAAGTTTCTGACTGTCGGTGTGATCCTTATAGGGAGGTGTAGACTGTCGGGTTGCAGTTTTTGAGGTGATAGGTATAAATAGTTGGAGACCTTTTAGTGACATGACTGGAAATCGGTGTCAATGGCACAGATGCCTAGAAAGTTGAATCGGCTCCGGTAGGGGTGGGTCAGTGGTCGACGAAATCCCTTCACGGATAAAAACGGCTCGATAGGCTGTGGTCACCTTACACCTTCTTTGGCTCCGTGGCGTTATCCGACTGCTTATTATTGGTTGGGTGTATTGTGCTGCAGTTATCTCTGTTCTACAGTATAGGTGTGATACATGACCGTTATAAGTGGAGGATATGAGAAGACTCCTGGTGTTTGAACACCGGGGACTTCGTAGTATAGGCCATGTTTCGTGGTATCACCAAGTGAATAACGCAGAAATCAGACGTCGCTTGATGCGGTTGTGAAGGTTCATCATCTGCGATGGCTGCGACATGTTGTTACGCATACACGCCAGGTCACCATCGTTCAGATTTATCCACACATTATCTTCATTTTATACGCTATACTGAATTTGACATTTCCTCTTTCCTCCTTCTTCTCTTTCATTGGTTTCCACTTGTTTTGACTGGTTTTCCTCTACTTCATCTTTCATCCTACTGCTTTGTTTCTTTGTTGTGCTGGCTGATAAGAGGTACGACAAGTTGGACCATTGTGCAGTAATGCCTAGTCCTATACTGATAATAACTGATTATGCAGTGACCGATAATGAACATACTCATAAAATTCTCAATTTAGTGCAGTTTCTTCCGGATTTACATTCTAAATATTTTTCTCCCGTTGTCGGATTTTCATAGGTTTAGACATGTTTACAAGACTTTTCTCTTTATTTATTTTGTAGGTTTTTCAGGGTTGATCGATTGATTTCACAGTTGGTATCCAGCACGTAGTGACACCAGTTGGAGGATCATTGAAAAGCTGTATGAACACTAGACAGCTATTTTCTCCTAGTATGGGACTGACTCAGCGGTACGCCTGGGATCAACTGAATCGGATTGTAGAACAAATACTTGCCGATGGTATTTGGTGATAGTTGCGCTACATCGGTAACTGTTGTCAGAAGTAAAAAATGTCAAGTATGGAATCGCGACCTTAGCTGAAAGTTCCGGGTTCTATCCCATGTAATCTTACAGATACACACTGCTTAGCAGTTCCATACTAGGATGAATCAGCTGTCCATTGCTCTCATGGTTCTTCAACTCACTTCAGTCCGTGATGAATACTTTTTATTTATTCGCCCGGATACAGAAGACCCGTTTCGCATTTGCCAACTTGCATCATCTGTGGTGCTGACTGGTAATATCTCAGACTATCTATCGAATGATGAGTATACTGCACTGCAGCCTGTTATGCGGTGTTGAGACGCGGCCATTGAAAACAGACGACATGAAGCGGTCCCAGAGGTTTGCTCATAGGTGTCTTCGCAGCATTCCTCGCGTTGAGTGGAGTCACCGTGTAAGCAATTTTTAGGAAAGGGGGAAGGGTACTAGGCAAGATAGGGAAGTCGATTGATGAGGTTGTGAACCTTCATGAACTAAGATAGCTTGGATATGTACTGCATATGCCAAGTTATTGCTTACCTTGACTTGCTTAGCTGTTGGAAGTTAGGTTAAGTTTGAAGAGAATTCATAGTGGTCGATGAAGTCTCTTACTGTTAGTCTAAGCCACCAGAGGAGATGTAGACAACCTGACCAGGGTCCCCGAAACCATAGAAATCAATAGTTGAGCACATGGCTCAGATATATTCACTTCTTAACGTCTTCCTAAGTTTAAATATTTACTCTAAGTGTTATCTTCACATTGTTTATTCTCGCACTCAACTTTATCTACTTTAATATCACTTTTATTCTTATTCTATTGTATCCTACTGTTAAATGTGGTAAGTTGAACCGATCCATTTTTGTGCCATTTACAACGTTGATTTTACCAATCAGTCAGCTTTATTTATGCATAAATAACTTGATTCTTAAGTTATTGTTGATGATCAACGAATCCTTATAACTTGAATGTGTTTTTTTGTTTCCTGTCTAAACCAATCTCTCCATTGATTTATTGGGGGGTTTTTTTTAGATGAATTTGGCAAAGTAAAATGATTTGCATTTTGTTTTTTCGTTTTCGCTTCATATTCACCTGACTTGTCTATGCTTTTTCTTATTTTTCTATCTAAGTCGATTTTGATTTCACTTGTTTCAGCGTGTTAGATACACTTTCGTCTTTTCTATAATCTGCTTAAGAATGCAACAAAATGTCTGCATACATTTCTGTTATGTTACGACTGACTATCTTACAAGCGTGTTGATTCTATGGTGAAATTCTCTTCAGGTTTACACATCACTTGTTGTTTTTCACGAATAGCCCTACTTTTTGAAATCTTTTACTACAATAGGATTGATGAATAGTGGCCAGCAGTGGAATTCAGGACATGCGTTTCGTCCTATTTGGAACTCATCATCTAGACGTACCTGCCTTTCAGTGAGTGATGTAGCTCCTGCCGAAACTCGAACTCCAGGTTGATCGCTTCAAACGACAGAGCCTGTTATCTACTAGACCACGGAGTCACAGTAGCCACTTCCTGGGCATTGGATATGATGTTGTTCCTATTATTCTGAATGAATTGTCCACTATTGGCATATAGGCTCCTGTGTAGATGCCTCGATATTGCGGACATTTTTGGAATTTGACATTGCCTAGCTATAAAATTCACTATGCTTACTTAATCCTTTCACTAAAATATCCATATTGTAGATACAATGGGGGTGCTGACTGTGATCGGTAACACACAGTAATACAGTTTAGTCGAACGGTGACCATTTCTGACGATAACCGAGATTGAGTGACATTCAGAACCAATCGACAATTGGCCGCTGGACAAATTATCTTCAAAGTAGAGTATGATTAGCTAAGCATTCGTCAACTAGACTCATCACCTACCAGCTGAATAAAGTTCAGTGGTTATTACTATAATGGCTGTCTGTTTAGTAAGTTTTTCGAAGCTGTGATGAGATATCGTGACCTTTGGGAGGATTGAAGTCTATACTTCAGCCTGGATTGGATTTCTTTATCCTTAGACATCAATAAGGCGAGATGAGATGCATATAGTAAGTGCATGGAAAACCAACGCTTATCATTCATCACGAAAAACTCCTTCGAAGTTGAATAGAGACTTGAAGTTAAGATATTACTAGTCAATCTTGGGGTTATTTCATATTAGTGATCTAATAACCAAAAAAAACTAGAAATAAGGAATGAAGTGCGTTTGTAATCTCCTGGTGAGGTATGTAGAGTCTTGCTGAAATGAAGTGCGTTAATTGATGGGGCTTTGAACCCCCATTGATCGAGATGACTGTGTTATGCACCCCTACTCGCTGAAGTCAGCCTAATCTGTAAAAAGGTTAAAGTTGGCGTGAAATAAAACATGGCATCAGTGCATGAAGTCTGTGGTTACTCTTGTGTGGAATTGTGGTGGTTCATTGGTTTATGGATGTGACTTTCAACCAGTTGGTCGCGGGTTCGAAAGC